CCACCGTGCCCGTGGCACGGCGCGGGGTGCCTCAGGGCTCCTGCAGCCCTGCAGCCCGGGGAGGCAGAGGGGTAGGAAGGTTTTACGCGCCCCGAGCCCCAAGTATCCCAGGATCTCCCAGAGCCCTTGGGAGCTCCCACGGACTCCCGGGAGCTCCTCGGCCGGCCTAGACGACCTCCTGAACCCTCGAGAGCGTCTCACAAACCGTCTAAGATGGCCAAAGAGCGCTCATGAGCGGTCCAAGACAGCTTCAAGACGGCCCATTGTGGCCCCAAGACGGCCCAAGGGGCCCACAAGACGCCTCAAGAGGGCCCCCCTAAAAGGCAAACGTCTCCCCGTTCCTCAATAAGGACTTGCAGTATAACATATTCGCCTACACTGCCCAAGAATCCCCCCAAATCGCACCAAGTCGGCCCACGAAGCCTACACGACGGCCCAGGAGGGCCCCAAGATGGGGACCTTAAAGTGAGATTTCAAACCCTCAACCTTAAGGGGGAACCCGAGATCGCCAGCAAGCCCCTGAGAAGTCCCCATGAGGCCCGGAAGGAACCCCAACAGGCCCCCAAACGGTCCCCACGAGGCCCCAAGAGGCTTCAAACCTGCCTCCAACAGACTCCCCAGAGGCTTCCCAAGAGACCCCCACAAGCATTCAAGAGGCCACTGACCCACAACCCAGGCACGATGGCGGAATGGGCCGAAGGCCACTGTATACGCCGCCCCCTGCTTCGGTCCATTGCGCCAGCCACCCGGACGGCTCTTCCAGAGGTAGTTGCAAACGTGTTTCCCGCTCCAGATGGCTCCAAGATGGCCTCCAAGACGGCAACGATGGCCCTCAAGTTCTCAAAAAATGGTCCAAGATGGCCTCCCAGACGGCCCAAGAGCGTCCAAGACGCCTCCAAGTTTGCCCAAGAAGCCTCCAAGACGGCCCAAGATGGCCTCAAGATGACGGAAGACGGCCCAAGAGGCCCCCAAGATGCTTCCAAGACGGCCCAAGAGGCCTCCAAGAGGTCCTCCAGGAAGGCCCGACGAGGCCAAAAGCATTGATTGTCCTAAGGTTTTTGAAGGATTTTGCCATTTGCTTCTATTCGACCTTCTGACGGCCTTCAGACGGTCCAAGAGGCCCTCGAGATTGCCCCCCCAGAGCGCCCAAGAGACCTCCAAGAGAACCCAGGACGGCCCAAGCGGCCCCCAAGACGGCTTAGAAGGGGGGCCCCCAGAAGACCCAAGAGGCCTCCATGACGCCCGAGATGCCCCTGACGCGCCCCAAGAGGGCCCCCAATCTGTCCAGAGATGCCCCCAAGGCGGCTCCCGACGGCGTCGGACACCACAGGAACGCCCCGAGACGGTCAAAGAGGCCCCCAACAAGCCCCCAAAGGCCCCCTAAGGGGCCGAAGGAGATTCCCCCTGAAAGGCCTCCGAGAGGCTCCCAGCCCAGTAGACCCCAAGAGTGCCCTGAGATGCTCCCAAGAGGTCTCCTCCTCCTCCTCCTCCTTCTCCTCATCCTCCTTTTCCTCCTCCCCCTCCTCTTCCCACACCCTTTTCATCCTTCTCATCCTGTTCCTCGCCCGAAAGTGCTCCCCGAAGGGCTTCAACGACGGCTGGGGGCACACATGGTCTGATAGCTTGGCCGAGCTTTAGTCCAATTCTCGGCCACGCAGACGCTTCCAAAAGGGCAGGGGGCGGCGTTGACTAGCCTTAGGCGTCCTCGATCCGCGGCCACACGGGGTACCTACAGGGCAGGGTTTGATGCATAGGATTTTTGGACATATATGATTCTAATACATGATTCATTTAGGAATAGATTTGTGCACGAACTCATCGCTGTTTTTACTAATCAATCCTTGCATTTATAAAAAAAAAACGGCATGGTAGCGTGCTGAACTTTCGGCTGTTTTTGCTTCGCTTCGAAACTCCCCCCTCGGGGGTTCGGCCCCGCGCGCCGGCCACCCAGAGAGCTGCGCACAGCTCACCTCTCATAGGCCAGATCGTCGCCTCCACGGCGGCCAAAATGGCGCAAGATGGCCGCCAGGATGTCTCCAAGACGGCAGAGATAGCCTCTAAGACGGCCACGATGGCCTCCAAAACGGCTAAGATGGCCCCAGGAGAGCCAAAGATGGCCACAAGATGCCTCTAAGCCCGCCGAAGAAGCCACCAAGACGGTCGAAGATGGCTCCCAAACGACCCCAGACGGCTTCCAAGAGATCCTCCGGGAAGATCAGAAGAATCCAAACTCATTGATTTTCCATCTGTTTTTGCAATAAGTTTGGCGCTCGCATGTTCTCGGCCATCTGGCGGCCGACGACGGCCCAAGAGGCCCCGAAGATCGCCCCAAGAGCCTCCAGCAGGCATCAAATATTGCTCTTTGACGGCTCACGATGCCCCCACACGTTTTCTTGCTTGAGGTGCAGGGACGCGCCCTGGAGGAGTAAAGGAATGCAGGGGCAGTTCCGGAAGCTGGGCGAAGGCTGGCAAATCCGCGGCTGCTAAAACGGTTTCCCGG